AGGACTGAGTAGTAATTTACATACTATTGATGTTTTTAAATGACAAAACTGCCTATTTCATTAAATTTTCTCCTTGTGTGCTTATGCATGTCTGCATATGTAGCCTTTGACATTTATGTGAACATAATTTTTTAAAAAACACATTTACATTTAAATTTATAGAAACATACATTTTATAACATTAAGTATCTTGGACCTTGAAACACTAAGCATGAAGCAATGTTTATGTTTGGTGTTAACACTTTATATATAAAATATATTCTAATACTTTAAACTCTGTTGTTTTTGACAAAATTGTATTAGTAATTCCCTTAAAGGAGCATATGCATCACAAATATTTTTGTTCTTTTTTTAAAAAGTTGATGAAAAGAAGAGCCACCATTTGTTGGGCAATCGCTGCGTTCCCACTACTGTAGTGAGGGTTTCAGGTCTGCTATTTAGAGTGAGTCTCATTTCCATGGTTTAATCGTTGCATCACCCCCATTACGGCCAAACTGACTGGTTAAGTCATTTGAACACTATATCTTGAAGGCGAGTTCAAGGTGGTCTGAGGGAAGGGCTGTGGCCCAAATGCTACCCAGGTTTACCTTGACAATTATATTTCTTTGTAAATCAACTCCCAGAAGTTGAATTTTTAAAATGAATTTCCAGTAATTCTCATATTTCCTGAATTTAACTTTGGACAATAGAAATGCATCCCAACAACAACTTGGCTTCCTCAGGGTCAGTCTTCAGAGACTGTCTGTCACCTCACTCCTGCTTCCAACACACACACACACACACACACACACACACACACACACACTCACACACTCCAAGAGATACATGTAAGTGCATTTAAACAAGCATACACCTGACACTAAATCTTAGTCAGTGTTGTATATTTTAAGAGAACTCTTCATGAAGCAGGATAGGGCTTCATAATAATCTTTTTTTTCAGCTTTATTTGAGTATACTGGTACATTTTAGGGATACAGTACAGTTACATTCATTGTTGGGATCTTGTACCTCTATATGACAGGTCTTGATTCTCATTTTAATCAAGACATAATAATCTTTAAATGGAAGACTTACACCAGAACTAATCTCATATTATCATTTTCTGGCTTTCATTGCATCTTCTTTTTGAATCTTTGTTTCTAGCCTCTCTTCCTCTGCTCCTTTTTAGTTACAGCTACGAGAGCTCACCATTTCTTTTCTGAAAGGTTCTATACTTTCTTCATTTGCTTATCCTCTCCCTTTTGTAGTCCATCTACCAAAAGGCCTAGTCAAAGAACTGATTTTACTGGAGAACCAATCTGCTTTAGAGTGAAGGAAACGACTTAGTACTTTCTGCCACTGAAAATTTTAGATATGATAGATAAGGTAGTAATTAAACACTGTAAATATTTTGTAAACAAATGGATTTCATTGTAGAAAGAACTAGAAATATAGAATTATACTAGAAAGTCTAAGACAATTTTAGACATAAGTTGAGACTTGAATTATGAATCCTAAATTTTACAAGCATGCAAAATAAATTTTTAACTTTTGCTTTGAAAGAGCCTAAGTTGAATAAATTGTGCTTCTTGTATAAGGAAAACCTTGAACTTGGCTTCCTTTCAAAAATTCTTATCTTTTTTCTCCTGAGGCCAAGAAATGTATCTTATTAGTTGCTTTGTATTTCTTTCTTCTTTTTCACAATATCTTTACCACATTAATTTTTAGGTAGCTTTATTACTATCAGAGTCTGCATTGACTCATTTGGAAAATGAAGGTAAACATTTATCCTAATTAAATATGAAATATACCTGATTTGCTATATTTCATGCATACAGAAAGGGCTCGAAAGAAGTAGAGAAGGTCTATCATATAATTATTCATTTACTTATTAATATGAGAAACTTCAGAAGAATTTGTAGCTTAATTACATGTTCAAGAAGTATCAGTAGGTAATTAGCACCACCAATTTCAGGTACTATACTAATGAAAAGAAAAGGGCAAAAATAAACGTTTTACACCATAAACCATTTCAAGAAATTCTTAAAGCTTTTCCTCTGATTGCAACTAAAATGAAATAATGAAACAGAGTTTCAGAGTTCTCTGAACAGACTCATAGAGCTAAACGTGCTGGAGAAAGCAGAGGGTATTTGCACAGATGGTTTGCCATAGAACTTGGCAAATCCAGCCAACCTACAGGAGCTCTGGGAAAGAGCTCTGCCAACAGGCAAATATAGTGCCTTTCAAATCTGGACTGCCAAAGCCAAAGTCTGAAGACACCATACTGTAGCTCATCCCTCGTGAAAATCACAAGTAACAAGAACATTATGTTATACAGTGAGGACAAAAGCTACTTATGATCTAATGTTCTTGTAGCCATGTTTGCAGCCTTGTGATCTCTTCTCAGCACTGCAGCCAGAGGGATCTATAGATCTTCTCACGTCATTTTCATAAAACTGTCCACTGGTTTCTCTTTGTTTTTGGGATAAAGCCCCATGTACACGACATGCTGTGGGTCTTACAAGACGCGGCTCTGCTTCTGTTCAGTGTGATCCGAAAGCACACTGGCTTGTAGTGCTCTCTGTGGCCCAGACTTATCACGCATGAGGTTTTGACCCTCTCCTGGACATTTGCCATTTCTTATCCACGGAAAGTTCTTTCCAACCATTCACTGATTCACCCTGCTTCTTACCAACTTAACTTGAGGCCGTATCCAATCTGTTTTCGGGAAGTAATTTTTTTAACCAGTCCTCACTCCCACCCCAATCCCTACTAATTGGGTTGCCCTGTTTGTAGAATTTCATAATATCTTAGATTTTCCTTTAAATAAATTAGCAAAGCATATAAGTACTGGGCATATGAATATGTTGATACTTGTCGAATGGGAAGTGAACTAAAATGTTATTAAACACATGCTGAAAAACAAAAATTAGGAGATACATCGATATTGCACTAATTAAAAAGTTGTGTATTTACTTCAATATCAAGAAAAGTAGAAATGATAGCAATTGTTTAAAGACAAATGAAGCATTCACTTATAATTTTACTGATTTATTGCTCAAAATACAGTATTTTAGTGGTCATAGTTACACAAAGTGCTGCATATAGTAGAAACTACATTACAAAAGCTGATTTTTTTTTTTTTGCACGTGGAGATGTGAAGTATATCTCAACAAAACTAATGTCAAAAATGCAAGGTCCTAATGTAGCAATTGGAGCTTAGAGGAAGACTTTAAGCATTCACTACTGCTAGTTGACTATCTAGCTTTCTGATGCCATCAAGTTTTAAAAATCTGTAATTAGGTAAAAAGATTTTATTTTGAAAGACCATTGCAATGGGAAGATGCTCCCTGCCCAAAAGATATACCATTAAAAATAAAAAGATATCCTGTACATATCTCCAAGGTCTAGCAGAAAAGCTCTTCTTTCGTAGGGAAGAAGAGAGAAGGCTCGAAATAACCAGATGTTGGGAACTGGCATAAGTAAGGGGAATGATTGGACAGCTGGACAGAAAATGTTTCTCTTTGCATATCTGATTCCCAAGAAGGACCATTGAGGAGAAATTATGTAGTATTTTAACACTCTTTTAAACCCAAAGATGGGCCAAAATGTAGGAACTCAAGATAAATCAGATGAGAGAAGCTTGACTAAATTTTGTTCAATCCATATTGCCAAGCAATTTGCCTGGGGTAGTGAGTACATTCATGAGAAAAAAGGTGAGAATTTGTAGTCTGCGTATGTCCTCATATAAGGTTCTTTAGTGTTATCTAGAAAAGGAAGTATAATTCTTTGCAGTAAACTGTTTCCTGGAATATAAAAGGTAAGGGGAACTTCTTTACTGCTGCTGTTTTCTAGAATGATGGGGCTTAGGTGAAGTTTAGTGATTTCACTTTTCTCTAACAAAACTAATTCTTCCAAAAGTTGTTTGCATTACATTTTGCAATACAGTGGCCAATATAGATTAAGCGGAACACAGCCCACATTACATGAAAGAGGTGACTTCTCTGCCCCCATGCATTTGAACTGTGGCTCTGCAGCGGATGGGTAGGCAGAGGACTAGGTTCAGGTGTCGTACAAGAATTTTCTGTGTTTGAAATATTGTCGCTTTATTGTAAAATATCAAAGTTAGCAAATTTATTATTGCTTTGGGAAGCATTTCTGTGTACATCCTGATAGAAAGGCTTAGGACATAGTTTTGGCAATAATTGTAGGCAGTATTAAATATTTTATGAGAAATACATTAGTGTAAATCACCATTTTAAAAAGTGAAACATGAATCACCACTCAAAGAATTGAACTTCAGTGCAAGAAATCCTGATTTATCTTTGCTGTTGATACTGTGTATGTAAATGCCATTTCTCAGAAGCATAAAGCTCTGAGCATAATATATTGGTTAGTGTAAGCAGTATAATATATATTTTTCAGGCTGTACTAGTTTCATTAATCATATATTTTAAGAATTTTAAGCTTATTTTTTACGAGGCATTGCATTGCATGTGGCATTGATATGTGCGTATAATTTATTACTTGGAGAGTGAATTATCCTAGACTATTTTATGTGCTTGATATATTGATTTTCAGTTGTGATAGATCATTTTAAGATTGTACATCTTTACTCATGGTGATTTATCCACAGAATCACATCCACTACTGGGCAAGCTGATGCAGCCCTTTCAACACTTTCTATCAGCTATAAATAGAGTTGTTAACTGGAATCCTTAACCCTGCTAGGGAAACATATTTAGCAAGTTGAAGGAAATAACTTCTATCCAATATCTAATTAGTTGTTGAATAAGTGCCCATAAAAAGTAGTTTCATTGCAGTATGTCTTTTTCTTCCATACTTATCTAGTATTCCATTTTTAAAATCAATGTGCAATGAGGTATACAGAGAAAGGAAAAGATGTCGTCCTTTTTTAAAAGGCCTTCTACCATGTCTACTGATGGTCTTTTAATCTTTATCAGCTTAAATACATGCACATCCATTGACTGTCATTATAACAATCTTTTTTTTACTTACAGAAAATTCTCCCTGAGCAGAGTTCTGTAGAGGAAAAAACCATATGCAGTCTCCAACACCAAATGTGTAATGCTCGCTGGCGACGATGCGGTGTAAAAGAACCAGATAAGTGAAGAGGAGAACTTTGAAAATTTGGGTTGTAATTTTGATAATTTTATTAGGATTTCTAATAAATGTCATCGAGGCTCCTCTGGAAGAATGTGCTGTTTTGTTGACTGTTCCCAGGTGCTTAAGTCACAGGACTGTGGAGGAATAGCCCTGTTTATAGAAGACTTAGTACTGGCACATATTTAATGACATTATTGAATAAGTTCAGGGAAGGATGCATAAGTTCGACTGGATTTAAAACTACATGTGCACGGCAATTTAGAGGTTACACATTGGGCCCAAAAGTCAGGTAATTTTTTAGCACTTCCCAACACTTTGGTCTTATCTCGAAGAGTTTTGCTAAGATTGAATGGATAGATACGGTTAAGTTTCTTATCACTCTCCCTTGGTACATGATATGCTCACAATAAAATCAGCTGTTTTATGTTCACCTTTTAATACTCTTTCCTAACTCTCTTCTTGAGTTTGTTTTTTTTCCGTACTTTGGTTGACTTGAAAATAAGAGCTATGAGTAATGAAGCTGTAATTCATCTTTGTTTAAGTAGAATAGCTTCCACTTAAAAAGCAAGATAAAATTTCCATTTTAATATGGTAGCTTAGAAATAATTTAACATATTCAAATGTAAAAAAATGATCTCATAAGATGAGAAATAGGTTTATTCTATGCTGAGCATGTAGAAGGAAAGTATTCATGAAAATGATCAAAAAGAAAAGAGTGTGCAAAAAAATATTATGCACTCTTTTGTGATAGGGCCGAACTATCATCCAGCCAAAGTTATAGAAAAGAATGATGTGATTCTCACAGCTCCTAGACCCACGATTTCATTTTTTCTTTTTTATTAGTAAACCTTTGTAATACATAACAAGTACACTCATCTTGGAGAACTGGAACAGCTTAATCAGTTTTGTTTTCTTTTCTCTTCTCTTCCTTCCCATCCTCCTTTTCCTCCACTCCCAGTCCCAGATTCCCTTAGCTGCCCAAATTTACTGGTATGGAATTATATAAAAAACAAAGTAAATTAACTCTCAACTGTTGTTGCAAAAACTGCCACTAGATGTCATGTCGTTCTTATTTTGTCATTTCACAGAAGGGCTACGGATTTTGTTTCAGGCTCTTGATGGTCAATGGTAATAAGATGCTGAGGTTTATGTTTGAGTGTGATAACATTTGATGTCAGTAATATAGTGTCTACTATAGAACTAAGCAACTATTTTGGTGAAATTGACGTGCTGATTTAGTCAATCCCATATTTAATTAATTTGATAGGTCTGTTTTATGATTTTGGTAAATACCTGTCAGAATTTTATCTGATCTTGTCTCTAAATCTAGATTTACAACAAAAACACACATATATTCCATGTATTTATTCAATTTAGCCTCAGAGGAGTAATTTAGCATTAATGGTATAAAAAGCCAGTGTATGTAGAGTATGTTATGACATTAGCACAGACGATTTTAAAAGCAAAATCATTTTAAGTGCTACTTAAGGAATATTATTATTGAAATAGCAAGGAACAAAAAGCACTGAAAACATGTTCACAAATCTTGGACACAATGCTACCTTGTTTAAAAATCATTTTTTAAAGATCTATTTTATAAACAATTAAAATAACTTGTTCTCTCCTCTTTTGCTACTAATGTTTGGTGACATTTAGTGTAAAGACATAGAGTGTAGAGATAGACAGTTAGTGTAAGTTAGAAGATTTGTGTTTAATTTTTAGCTTGTACTTTTACATTCCTAACTGTGCCAGAGATTGAATAGATGTTTATACTGGCTGAATTATAATTATCTGATCTGTAATTAATTCGTGTGAGAATTATGTCAAGTTGCTTACAAGTTTTGTAAATTTTAGATTACCAAAGAATTAGAAAGTTCTGACCTTTTGTACTTTTCACGTCTTTTGGTTTGGAGAGGAATTTCCTTTACTCCAGAGATGAGTGGGAGTGTGGTGGGGGAGCGGAGTGAAGGACAGGGAATAGATTACTATTTCTCCTACCAACATTTTCTTCTAAACTTATTCTTTTGGAATTTGTTCTCTTGGTCAAATTTCTTTACCTTATGCTAAAA